TCCCTCCTCTCTCTCTCTCTCTCTCTCTCTCTCTCTCTCTTTCTCTCTCTCTCTCGCTCTTGTAGACATACAATATGCTTGGAATCAGTGGTTTAAAAAACGAATCGGTGCGTCGAATCGGGCACCCTGAAAACCCATCCGGATCGGTGAATTGGCGATTCGGATCGGAAATCGACCGAACCGGTCAGATTAAGCCTTCAAAAAAATCCAAAAAACATTATTAAATTTCATTATAAATGTTGTTTTTTAGAAATCCAATAAGAAATAGGGGTATTTCATTAATAACTTTCATTTTTTTCGTATCAACATGCGAATATTGAGATGTTCTTTCCTTTTATGAAGATTCTCATCAAATATTTATTAAAACTTAACTAAATTATATATTGAAATTAGAATTATTGGTTTGTATTTTATTATTTTATCATCATTTTACTATACGAATAAGAATAAATTTGAAATTTGTCTTATAATATCATCTAATTTAAAAATCTAAGTTATAACTATAATAAAAAATAATACATTACATAATTTATAACGTAAAGAAATTAATAAATAAAATATAAGATTTGATTATTATTGTAATTAGTATAATTGCTAATTATAATAAACATGATTAAAAAACAAGGGTATGACCCTAAAAAATAAATAAATCTAATGTGTAATAGTTAGTGTTGCTAGAAATATAGCATAAATTTGCAATCATATTTTAATATAATTAGAAAAATAAATAAATAAAATTTCATATTTCCAATGTGAACAAATTGATAAAGCAACTTGGAATAAATTCTAAAGTGGTATGATCTGGTGTTATTTTTCTCTCTTAAAATATCTCATAAACTAGTATTTTTTAAAATGTTCAAAAAACCAGTATTAGTATTATTTTGTACTTTTTTAATATCCTATGACTTAGTACAATAATTTCATATAATTATGTTAATTTTTGCAAATTATTATATGGAATTTTATTTTTGTAATTATATATAATTAAAGATTAATTATATGTACTTTATATTTGTATATTATAAAAATAAATAAATATAATTAATCGTAATAATGATTAAATATTAAAAATAAATAAATAAAGTTAATCTTAAAAAGAATTATAGATCATTTTATTTTATAAATGTCCTTATATATATGAGAGAAAAATATATTTATAGTACCCACCCATCCCTACCTAATACAAACAGCATAAATAATTTGGAACAATTTACGGCCATCATTTAAAATAAAAAGGTCATTAATTTGGAGCAATTTATCGCCACCATAAATAATTTGGCTGCATGATTGATCATTAGGGAAGGGCTGGTTTAGTGAGAGAAGCCCGTGAATTCACGAGAGAGATGCCTATTGAGCTATTTGGAGGACTTTGTTGGGTTCATGGACATGTAAAGCTTAGTGAATTGGGTCGAGCCCAATTGGGTCCACTCGAACCGAGACATAGCGGTGATTATGTTCTTCTATCAAGCTTGAACGCAGCAGAAGGTCGGATGCGCAAAGAGAGATTGATGATGGTGAGAGAGAGAAAGAGAAGAAACGCGGGGTCGTGACCATGAGATTTTTTGCGCATCGAAGACAATGCGACATAAAATATGTGTAATATAACGCGTTGCATAACGTTAAACGTGTGCAGGTGTTTGTTTGAATAGGCAGAGAGAGTCACGCGCTTGCGTGAATTGAATAAAAAAATGGCGGGGCACGCAAGCGCCGCGATTACGTGACCCGAGCGTGATGGAAGTAGTAAGTCCGATCTTTTAAAACATGGGGCAATACTCGATTCAGATCGTCTGATTTTAGATCGCATTGACATGAACGATCTCGATCCGGATTGAATCACCAGTATGTTGACACGAGCGATACCAGGTTCGAATCACCCGACTCCGAATCAAATCTAACGGTATCATGACAAGAGCGATACCTGTTTTGAATTATCCGACTCCAGCTCAATTCGTTGATTTTTCAAACATTGCCTGAAATCGTCACTCGATATTAGGCATATCTCACGTCACTCTATAAGTAAGCATATCGCACAAAGTCCAAACACGTGAAACGTCTAGAAAAAGATGTATGGTGGGGAACATTTGCTGTTATATCTAAATATTAATTAAAGAAAAGGATGAAGTTTATTATGTCTTTCGGAAAGCAAACTCCATTACCGATTATTTGGAGGTGCCTCGTTGCCTTCGGATTTGTTCTAATGTAATTTCTTTCGCCTAATCAATCAATAAAACTTTTGAACATTTGTAAAAAAAAAAAAAATTTCTATAGGGCCTAAGTTTTATAAAAACAGAATAAAACCTCACGTCAAATCCTCATGTGAGACATCGAAAATCTCCATGATGGCTCTAAAATCAAGTTCCAACACCGACAATAAAATTTGATATTAAAAAAATGGTACACGTCTTGCCGATTGGTGAAAACTTAATTTTAGGGTGAAATTGATGCTTCATATGATTTGTTGCAATATACACTATTTTTAAAACTTAAAATCCTAATTTTCTTTCACAACCATAATGTTCAAGCTGAGATGATCGATTTTAAGGTTTTTCAACCTTGTAATTTTTGAAAAATTATGAGATGAGACGTTATTTATTTTGATAGGACTGCAGCACTATTGAACCATTTTCCATAAAAGAAATGTTATAGATTTTTAATAGGAAAAGCAAATATCACATATCCGTTGAATATATATGCCAGTCAGTCAAAACTGGCTGCTTTGGCATTTCATTAGTGTAGAACAGCAATCAAAAAAATTTTAGGGTCCCCCCTATATAAGATTTTTGGGGGGTAATTTCTTGTTCTTCCAAGTCTTTCATTAAACTCCAATGGGGGAGTTTCAAGAGGAAAACACCATGATTCAACTTTGGGAGTTATGAGAGAGAGAGAGAGAGAGAGATGAAGTGAGCATTCAAAAGGGAAGAATTTCCTATTAAAAACAAGAGAGGGAGATGAAGTGCTTCCTGATTTATAGAGAGGTGAGCAAGTTGAAGTGCTTACTGCTTTTTTGAGAGAGAGAGAGAGAAACTTCAAATACTTCCTGGTTGAGATTGAGAGAGAGAGAGAGTTGAATTGCCTCCTGAGAGAGAAGAGAAAGAGAGAGAGAGATGGAGAGGATGGTGGTTGGAGTGGGATCGAGTGGATCGTCAAAGGAGTACAGTGGGAAGATGACTCCATTTGTGCTATTTGCATGCATGGTGGCGGCCACAGGAGGTCTCATCTTCGGTTATGACATCGGAATTTCAGGTAATTTTACTGCATCACTTTCTTTACTCGGACATGGACATAGATGGATGTAGAGAGAGAGAGTTGAAGTTTCCTTGGTGTATGTATAAGTAGAGACTCAAAGTTCTCCTGGTAGAGAGAGAGAGGGAGGAAGAGGAGGAGAGAGAATTAGATAGAGATTTTTGTTCACATCTCCATGGTAAGCATTGGGGTGGAAAGAAAGATACAAAAGGAAAATGCATCCCTCTTCACACCATCCTCAAAGGGGAGAGGTCATCTTTTGTCCTTTTGGGTTGATAATTATCCCTTTCTACAAACCAAAGAAAAAGAAAGGTAATCTCAATTAAAGAGTGTTTTTAATTATTATTTTTATTTTAAAAAAATTATGAGAAATATACTTTAATTAGAAAAAAAAACACTCATTATTAAAGAGTGTTTTCAATTATTATTTTTTATTTTTAAAAAATTATCAAACATATACTTTAATTTTTGTCTTATTAAAAAAAAAACTCAATACTTTTATATATTTTTCTTTTCTTTTCTCCTCCTTTTTTATACGTTTTTATCAAAATAGCTTTCACAGTCTAACTACTTCATGTTTTACTGCACTTAAAATGTCTTGATTGTTTTGGACGATAATTATGGTAAAAAAAACTACCGTGATTGTTTTGACCCGCAACACACTGCAACTCGCTCCAAGGAGTAGTTTGATTAGTTCCAGATTCTCCCACCATTAAACACCATTTCCAGGGTAACCCACTACACCCATCATAAAAAGCACCAGAACCGATATATGTTCCATCTGATTGCTAGAAATTAGATTCCTGTGCATTTTTTGTATCAATTGGGTATAAAGATCTAGGGTTTATTTTTGTGATGGAGATTTGGGTATTTTAGCTTTTCGATTGGATGGGTTTTCATCATGTTTTCATGGGTTGGAAACCTAAAAGACGGTAGTGCCGTTTTTAGGAGAAGTGGATGATTGGGTCGCTGTTTTTCGAATTTCTGGGCTTTACAGCTTTGGTGGAACTCCGGAGTCTTGAGTGAAAAAGTGGTATCTGTTAAATTTTTGAATATTTTCATGAATATTTAGAAAGTTATAGCATTTTATGGAAACTGGTGAGCAAGTAGGTTTGATGAGGTTGGTTTGTAACTCATGAGATTTGATATGTGAAATTGGAGAAAGAATGAAATCTACAATGAGGACCTGAATTTTCATGGCTCCGTAGGTGTGCAAAAATGGGAAAATTTTCCATTTGGTTTAGGCTTAGGCACCCCATCATCAAATCAGACCAAGTGAGTGAATGAGCTCCATAACGGTTATACAATTCCCTGTTTTTTCTTGTTTGTATAATTAGGTAGGTTTTTCTGACTAAATCAATCGCAGATCAAACCATTATCACAAAATGAGACCTTCAGAGGAGAAGAGCTGCTTTTGAATTGCGGGGACATCTCATCAAAGAACACGTTTGGGATCTCTTAGTAAGCCAGCCCCCTCGAAATGGTCAAAACAAAGTAAAATAGAGTCTTTTTTAGTATAGTTTAGAAACATTGACAGTAGTAGTTTTACTGTAATTATTGTCTAAAAAATACTGGCATTTTAAGTCCCATAAAATGTGAGTTTACGTAGTTATCACAACACTTTAAAGACTATGATTTTAGGGTTTTTGTTGTCACGTTTTACGAACGACTAACATGAAGGTTATTTTGATAAAAATAATAATTATCAAAAGTGAAAAAAAAGAAGAAGGTATGGACGATGTTTATGAAAATATAGATTTTTTTTTTAAATTAGGTGAAAATTAAGATATATTTTTCAAAAAAAATTTATTTTTTATGTTTTATTTTTTTTGTAATTCAATGGGGGAAGACCAACCCTTCCCTGTTTTTTGTTTTTTCTAATAATTTAGAGCCACTTTGGAACCCTGGATTTTTCAATCCCGAGAAAAGTCAATCTTGGAATTGAGATTTACTGGAATTGACATTTCTTGGAATATGATGTATGCTGTTTGGATCGCATCTACTAGAAATTAAAAAAATTCTAATTCCGTGTTTGGATTGCCAAGAGTATCTTTTTTTTGGAAATGCAAATCCTCTCTCTCTCTATAAAAGTTTTGAGATAGTTTCTCCCTCTAAATTTTTTTTCTAAATCTTTAATACAATCTCTTTCAAAAACTTAAAATTTGAAATAGTCACTCTCAAAATTTTGAGATAGTTTTTCTCTTTAAAAATTTCAGGTACTTTCTCTTTCTAAAACTAAAAGTTTGATAGTTTCTCTATCTTTTTATATAATTTGAGATCATTTATCTCTCAAAAAATGCTCTATACATTCTCTCTCCATAAACTTGAAATTTTAGATAATCTCTATAGAAATTTTAAGACAATTTCTCTCTTTAAAATTTCAAATTTCAAGTTTTTTGACTGACAATCATGAATACGAGGTATTTTCATCTAAAACAAAGTTATTTTTTTTATTTAGAGGGTGGCTGTAAAAAAAACTAATAATTGTCTTAGTTGAGTGATTTAAAAAGTACTAGAAAAAAACATATCCCAATGTGTATCCCTCTTTTTGAGGATTTTGATTTTGGAAGTCAAGGGTATAATTTTCCCTCTTTTTGAGGATTTTGATTTTGGAAGTCAAGGGTATGGTTTGCATAAGGTTGCAATCTTAAACAATCAAATCTCCATACTTTGTTGTGTGATGCAATTTTGGCGTTTAAAATTCTTAGGATGGCACAAGAATATATTTTTATCTCTAATTATAACATTTTAAAATCAAAAAATAATTCAAATTAAGCAGATCTATAAATGCATGAAAATATTGAAAATAGACGGTCCAAACAACATGTTGCAAGATGTATTATTTTTAAGACTTGAAATCTCTCTTTTTTTCTATATCTATACATCTCGATGTCGAGATGATCAATTAGATTTTTTTTTTAACATCAAAACAATCTTTTTCCAAGGATTTTAGAGATACACCTTAATTCTACTCTTTTTTTAAAGGTTTCAACTTTATATAAACTTTTTCTAATGATAAAATTTGTAAAATTATCCTTCCATCCAAGAGCAACGAAAAAAATGACTGAGAACCATACTTTTTCTTAGTGTTCAAAAGCTTAGATCCCAATCTAGATTGGCAGAGAATATTGAAAATATTATTCTATATTTAAAATCCAAAAAATACAAAAATAAATAAGGTGGGAACGAGGTAATTCAACTTATAAAGATAGCCAAGTTCTTTGATAGATTCACCCAATTCTCAAACAAAATCGAGTGCATCCCTCTAGTGAGAACAAGTCCTAGTCCTAGTAAGGGACCAGGTTACTCGCCCATCAATCCCAAATCGGATGACCAACTCCAAATCCATATCAACAATTTTTAAAATGGTGCTCCGATCAAACAACTCGGTTCAAAACTTCTAAGTTTCGGACCTGACCATCATCAAAGAAGGAAAAAATACGTGTTCTTGGTAAGAGCTTCAAGTTCCGATCCTTTTAACAAAAAAATTGTGCTCTTGATGCTCCAAATTAAAAACAAGGCCAAAAAATACAAAAACCGGTTCCAAACTTCCAATTTTGAACCCGGGATATTATGGGAAAAAAAGAGGGAGGAATGAGCTTAACATGTAAAATATAGAGGTCAGTCGCCCCTATTTTAAATACCATAAAAAAAGAGGTAATTACAAGAACTTTCCTATTATGTATATGATATAATATAATAACTTGTTAGATATTTATAGGGACTATCTAGCAATACCAAGCTTTTTAGGCACACGGTTTTTTTTAGGCCGAAGCACTCGGTTCACATGTTCGACCCTAGCTTATTTTCCCATTTTTTAAATTTAAATAAATTTAATTAACCTCAAATTTGCTATTATTTCAACTGTAATATCATTATATTATACAAGAAAGAAGTTTATACAAGTTGGCAACTTTAGTTGTTGAAGTAATGTTACAGTAATCTACATCTTCCTTTTCAATTAGGAAGCATAAATTTACCTCTTTTTTGAAAAATGCACCAAATTTTGATTGGCTTGACAGGCGTGCCAAATTTTGACACTATCACATATTCAAGCCTACTCTATCCAACTATAACAGGCAGTGTAGAATATCACAACTTCATTTATACAAGTAAAGTTGCCTTTATATAAACCGTCTCTATATAAATGCTCCTCATCATAAGAAACTTGGATTTTAAAACTTCAACCCCACCTTTTGGCAAAGGACACGGTTCCCATGAATCCATGTAGAAATGAGTCACCTCTTAAAAATCTATTTTTGGGATGGATTTTTGGACCTATTTCTTAAGGACATGTAGTCTCTAACATGGAGATAATGAATATGAAAAACTAAATAAATTTTGAAAATTAAAATTAATAATTCTATTAAACCGTTTGTTTCAATTGTTTTTAGATGGACCACCTATTTGCATCCATCTTAACATCTTTAATATGGACGCTTTATACTTTGGAACCAAAAATGCAGTCCAGCCCGCATGAAACGATTTTCCTTTTGAAAAATGATGAAGTTCAATTGGTGTCACACAGGGGGTGTTACTTCTATGGGGCCTTTCCTTGAGAAGTTCTTCCCAGAAGTATACAGAAGGATGCAAGAGGATTCAACCAGAAGCAATTACTGTAAATTTGATAGCGAACTCTTGACTTCTTTCACTTCTTCACTGTACATTGCTGGACTCGTCTCCTCTTTCTTTGCGTCATCTGTTACGCGTGTGTGTGGTCGCAAGCCTTCTATCCTGATTGGTGGTGCTGCATTTCTTGCCGGTTCAGCGCTTGGGGGTGCCGCCATGAACATTTATATGCTCATATTCGGGCGTGTTTTGCTAGGGATTGGGGTTGGATTCGCAAACCAGGTGACCGATGATCCATATGACTGACCATGGAAAATCCATAACATATTTGCAAATCACCGATACATCAATGGATGGATAGTGATAGAGAAAGAGAGGGACCTAACATTTAGGTCATCTCACATTCTTCTATGTCCATCCATTGGTTGGAAGGCGATGACACTTGACTGTAGATTATCTATGGTCCTATGGGTCATAGAATAGTATTCCTTGAAAAAAAAGCACTTTAAACTAAGAACAAAACTGTAAAACATACCAAGAATTTTGACATAGACACTCGATTTGGTAGGAGCCCGCCCATTGATCTAATCCATTTTGTAGGCTGTCCCACTATACTTGTCAGAGATGGCCCCAGCTCCATATCGAGGAGCCATAAACAATGGCTTCCAATTCTGTGTTGGAGTTGGTGTTCTTGCTGCAAATCTCATTAACTATGGCACCGAGAAGATATCTGGTGGATGGGGGTGGCGAGTCTCCCTAGCCTTGGCCGCTGTTCCCGCTTCCATTCTCACTTTAGGCTCACTACTCCTCCCCGACACCCCCAATAGCTTGATTGAGAGGGAGGCCTCTCACAATAAGGCAAAAATGATGCTCCAAAGGATCAGAGGAACCACAAATATACACGACGAGTTTGAAGATCTCATCCAAGCAAGCAAAATCTCAAAGAGCATTTCTCATCCATTCAAGGACTTACTGAAGAAGAGATACCGGCCCCAATTGGTCATGTCAATTGCTATACCATTCTTCCAACAAGTTACTGGCATCAATGTGATTTCATTCTATGCACCCCTTCTTTTTCGAACAATTGGGTTTGGAGAGAGCGCCTCTCTTATGTCTGCAGTGGTCACAGGGCTTGTTGGGACCATCTCAACATTCATTTCAATGCTAACAGTGGATCGTTTTGGTCGGCGTACATTGTTCTTGGTAGGTGGGGCTCAAATGTTTGTGGCTCAAATGATTGTAGGTGGGGTGATAGGGGCTAAACTTGGCGACCATGGAGAAGGGTTGAGCACAGATTGGTCTTATTTTGTTTTAGTGATGATAGGTTTCTATGTAGCCGGGTTCGCGTGGTCATGGGGCCCACTTGGGTGGTTAGTCCCTAGTGAGATATTCCCTTTAGAGATCAGATCGGCATGTCAGAGCATCAATGTGGCGGTGAACTTCTTGTTCACATTTATAGTTGCACAAACATTTTTGGCGATGCTTTGTAGTTTTAAGTTCGGGATCTTCTTCTTTTTTGGGGGTTGGGTGATGGTGATGACTTTGTTTGTATACTTGTTCTTGCCCGAGACAAAGAATGTGCCAATAGAGCTAATGGATCGGGTGTGGAGAGAGCACTGGTTTTGGGGGGATATGGTCAAGGAGTCCAAGGCCGGTGCTGTTGATCTCGAATGATTCCACAATTGATGTCGTAGACAAGATCAATGCCACGAGGAAGAAAGAGTAGGGTGTATTGAAGAAGCTAACCTTTACACAACTGCTGAACGATTGGTGCTAGCATGAGGTTGAATGTGTCATACAAGATCCATGCATGTTGTCTATGTCCTTCATGAATAAGGTTACTTGAGCTGAAAGTTTTAAAAATAAGAAAATAAAGAAAAAAAAGACTTTTATATCGGTTGAAGAAGCTCAAAGCTTCGGCAGAATCATCCCAAAGATGACCAAAGTGGCAGCACCAAGTTTTGCTTCAGTCTAGGCCTAAAATCCGAAGGCTTCGACCAAAGCGAAGCTAACAAAGCTACTATTGAAAATGTGAAATACTCTTTCTCTCAATTATTGAGGTCAAAAGCTTAGATCTCTCTCTCAATTATTGAGGTCAAAATCTTAGATCTCTCTCTAGCTTGTATGCATACAATATGCACAGAATCGTCACGTAAGCATATCCCACAGGAAGTCAAGCAAGTGAAAATGAAGTATGTGGACATCTGCTCTGCTATCTAAATATCTAATGCTTAGTAGTTGAATAAAAGAATAATGAAGTTTCTATAGTTCTTAGGCGGAAACAAAATAAAGCCTCACCTCAAACCTTCATCTGGAAAACACTTTGAGCATAAAAAATCTTTACGATGGTTCTAAAATCAATTTTCAATACCGACAATAAAAATTTGAAACTCAAAAAATGGTATAGAACTTATAGATCGGTGAACACTTATTTTTAGGATGAAATGGATGGTATAGATGATTTGTTGTAATATACAATATTTTTAGAACTTTGAAATCCAATTTTTTTTCACATCCACAATGTTCAAGCTAAGATGATCAATTTAAAGTTTTTAAACACTTGAATTACAGTTTTTGATGAGTTATGAGGTGAGGCCTTTTGGTAGGGTGCAGCCCTATCAAACCATTTTCCACAAAAGAAATATGATATAGTTTTAATAGATAAATGAAATACCATATATGCTTTGAATAACTTGCCAGACAGTCAAGAATGGCTGCTTTGGCATTTCCTTAGCATAGTAGCATTTAAAAAACTTTAGGGTTTCCCCTCCCCATATAAAAAGTTTTGGGGTCTCCCCACCCTTTATCTTTTACTCTTACATGTCTTTCATTAAACTCCATTGGGGGAGGTCCAAGGGGAAAACCCCATGACTCAAGTTTTGGAGATGAGAATGAGAGAGAGAGAGAGAGAGTTGAAGTGCTTCCTGGCTTAGAGAGAGAGAGAGATGAAGTGCTCCCTGGTAGAGAGAGAGATAAGAGTTGAAGTGCTTCCTGGTCAAAAGAGGTGAGAATTGAAGAGCTTCTAGGGAGAGAACCTCGTTTAGACAGGAGGGAGATGAAGTGACCATTCAAGAAGGAAAAATTTCAGATATATAAAAAAAAAAAACAAGAAAGCGAGATGAAGTGCTTCCTGATTTAGAGAGAGGTGAGTAAGTTGAAGTGCTTACTGCTTGAGAGAGAGAGAGAGAGAGAGTTCAAGCACCTCCTGGTTGAGAGAGAGAGAGACTGTGTGTGTGTGAGAGAAGGAGACCGTGTGTGAAGGAGAGGGAGAAAGTTGAATTCCTCCTGAGAGAGAGAGAGAGAGAGAGAGAGAGAGAGAGAGTGGTGGTCGGTAGGTGGGGTCGTAGTTAGGGTTGGTACGTAAGGACGTACGTAGGTAGGGAAGATGTCGACCTCCTAGTTTGTGTCTTTAGTTTCGACTA